GCTGACGGCTGCGTCGGCCGCGTGCAGGACGCCCACCAGCAGACCCAGGTGGGCACAGGGTGGGCGCGGGGTGGGCGCAGGGCGGACACGGGCACCTGTCTCATCACTGGTCACTGCTGCAGGCCCTCTGTGAGGAGATCCGCGGGCGGCTGGGAGAGCTGGACGGTGCCCTGGAGAGCGGGCAGCGGGTCCTGGAGATGGTGACAGGCGAGTGACGATGGCTGGGAGTGGTGGCCACAGGGTCAGGACCGTGGGACTGGGGATGGGATGAGCACAGACAGCGGCAGCCGAGGCCAGCAAGGGGACCCCCGGGCACTGGGGGTCCCTGGGGCGTGCTGCTCCCCACCGGGAGCCGTGGTGTGGTGTGAGGGGGCAGACAGCGCCCCATGGGATGCAGAGGGGCCAGGACAGAGCCTGTGGGTCAGGGCCATGGGGGGACAGGGCTCAGAGGTGGCAGCTGGGGAGGTGAACCTTGCTGGCCGTGGGATGAGAGGCCAGAGCTGGGTCTGGGAGGAGCAGGGGTGGGAGAGGGGAAAGGTCAGGACAGAGTGATCATCACATCAGTGGTTGGAAGCTCTCAGTGTGGCCAGTTCCATGCCCAGGGGTGCCGGTGCGGTGGCCCTGATGCCGGTGTCACACTGCCACAGGGGAGGAGGCCCAGCTGACGCAGGAGAAGATGGAATCGCTGAGGATGAGGTACCTCATCGTGGGCCAGAGCAGTGCTGACACCGCACACCGGCTGGGGCAGACCCTGGAGGCCTCGTCTCGCCTGGGCACGGCCCCTGAGGACCTGGCACTGTGGCTGAGCCGCATGGAGAAGGAGCTGGGCGAGCAGGAGGGCCAGCAGGATGGCCAGGAGCCCTCAGTCACTGCCAGTGACAAGGAGAAGGTGTGGGACACTGGGCTCCCCGAGCCCCTCACCATTGCCAGCATCGCTGTCTGCAGGGGGAGTTGGGTCTGGATGGGACGTGCTGGGTTGTGGCACAGCCCCGTGCGATGCGCTGGGCATCCGTGACCGAAGCAGCTGTCCCGGTGCATTCACACCCTCCCTGGCTGAGCTGTGTCCCTCTGCTGCAGTTTGAGCAGGTCCTGGAGTCCCAGCTCAGCCGTGTGGCTGGGCTGGGCGAGCGACTGGAGGAGATCGGCCGCGTGCAGCTGGATGCTGAGGCTCTGCGCTCGCAGCTCTCCGAGCAGAAGGTGGGTCTGCAGCAGTGCCCAGGGGTGCCGGGGGCACCGCCTTGCTGTCCCCATCCCGCCGGCTCCTGCCGGGACCCGGCACCCACCTGCGGCTCCGTTGCAGCTGCTCTCCGCCGAGATCCTGCACTGCCGGGGCCTGGTTGAGCGTCTGCTGGGCTTCTCGGAGCCGCTGCTGCGCTGCTGCCCCGAGCCCCTGCGGCAGCGCCTTCAGGTGAGCCGGGAGGGCGCCGGGGGGACGTGGCCAGCGCCCAGGGACGGCTGTGCCCCGTGTCCCCGGCCACGCCGTGACCTCTGTCTCCTCAGCCGTCCGTGCAGGCGCTGCGGGAGCGCACGGAGCAGCTCTCCCTGCGCAGCGGCGCCTGTGCCGTGCAGCTGGAGCACGCCCAGTCCCTGCTCGCACAGTTCTCCGAGGCCCTCGAGGAGCTGCTGCCCTGGCTGGAGGAGACGCAGGCTCTGGGCGTGCAGCTCTCCCCCAACGCCATCAGCTACGAGGCCTTCAAGGAGCAGCAGGCGCTGCTGCAGGTGCGGGCAGGGCAGGGGCAAAAGGGACAAAAGGGACTCGCTCGGCCGCCCCCAGGCTGGGAGAGGTGACGGGACGGGGGAGGCATCGCCGTGGGCACCATGGGGCTGGAGCGAACAGGAGTCCTGTGGGGGCAGCACCCAGCACACGTCCCTGTGGGGCACAGCCCGAGGGGCACAGCCCGTGGGGCACATCCCGTGGGGCACATCCCGTGGGGCACATCCCTGTGGGGCACATCCCGTGGGGCACATCCCGTGGGGCACAGCCCTGCAGGGCACATCCCGTGGGGCACAGCCCGTGGGGCACATCCCATGGGGCACATCCCATGGGGCTCATCCCTGTGGGGCACATCCCGTGGGGCACAGCCCTGTGGGGCACATCCCGTGGGGCACATCCCATGGGGCTCAT